GTACTGAGTAACGTGTCTTGTTACGTAGTGAGAAATACAGTGATCGAGGGTTTAACTTGTACTGAGTAACGTGTCTTGTTACGTAGTGAGAAATACAGTGATCGAGGGTTTAACTTGTACTGAGTAACGTGTCTTGTTACGTAGTGAGAAATACAGTGGTCGAAAAGATGTATTACACACCATCCATTTGTCGTACGTTACTGTATACTGGACAGAGGTCCGGTTTGCTATTATAGCTTGAAGCTTGTAATACGGTGTGAAGAAGGCAGGATCCTCTTGGATCAAAATGGGGCTTTCTACTGGCAGACTTACGACTTGTGCGAGTGTCTCTGTGTGGGGCAATGCACCCCCGTAACTCAGTGCACGTATCTATACTTTTTCCTTGCAGCATGTGTGAATCTTTCTCTGAAGCATTTGAAGCTTCTAAAATTACATTAGAATTCAATCGCTAAAAACCTTGTGGTAACCTGAGATATTTTCATCTCTAGTAATGCCAGGTCACAAGTGCTTGTCCACCTACTGTGCTGAGTAAGAGCTTTCAAGACGAGGTCCCCAAAAAAATGTCCATGCATGTAGAAAAAGCTCTTTTTGTTTTATTTCTCTTTTAATTTTTCTCCGGACCGCTTTGTTTAGTGGTTAATTAACAATGTATGTAAATTAAATAAATTTATCTTTATTAACTTGCCTGTGTTTGTCCTGTTATTTTGTACTCAAATAACATTATTCAGCATGATTACCATTACAAGCCTTGTCTCATTTTGAAATACCTAAACTACTAATATAATATATGTATATTGTTGTTGTGTTACTAAACTTTGCTCATTAACCACCTTTTTTGCTTACTTGCAAGATTGATTGCAATCTAACCTATAGAAGTACATTATCACAATACTAGAAAACGTAAAAAAAAAACTGTCAGGTATAATAATATATAAGAACTATATATATATCTATAACATCTTTAGATCATTAGGCTTAAGATATTTAACATTGCGGTTAGTATAGTTTAACTATCAGTCGACATGCATTTTGTACTTAAAGGTTCTTGTCTTTAGACTGGGAATTAAAAATACAAAGTTCCAAGGAATACAGGAGAAAAATGTTAATGGTTAGCCCATCAAGATGTTTGTGATTATAATTTGTTAAAAAGAAGTTCCAAGGACATATATTTTTATCCGACTTTCTCCGTTTTAAAAGTCAATTTTGATGACAGTTTTGTTTACTCGTAAATGTTCGGTAATACTAAGTAAAAGAAAGACTGGGTGAATATTTCAAAGTATTCAACAGTTAAATGGGAGAAGGAGGGGGGATTAGTGGTTGTTAGTTAACCCTTAAGATACCGTATATTCAACCAATCTTTTTGGTCTGACCGGGTTGTTATTGCAGCACTGTTATCGTATTGTTAAAGTGTATACACTTGTGTTCATGTTATCTATTGACACTGATCCTTAATTTAGAACCTTGCAGTGAGGTCACGTGATTAATGAAGATGTTGGAGGTGATACTCAGAACGTTAGTGAGACTAACTTTTTTTCCTCATGATGGTAGCATTAAAGCTCTAATCCAACTACGTTAGTTTATAATAATTCGGGTGTGGCTTAGTGGTTAGCGTGAAGATCTGTGAATTTGAGAGTCCACGGTTCATGACCCGTTGCCGCAAAATCGCGCTCCTCATTTTGAGACCATGAGGTGCGTTTTAAGAGTGATGGTCAAATCCCATTATTCGACTGAAGAGTTGGCGGTGGGTCTTGTTAACTAGCTGCCTTCCCTCTGTCAGTAATGTAGCTTTATGAGAATATCCGAAACAAGTCGTTAAAGTTTACTATACGAGTAGAAAGTTTTGGTTTACTCCAGTGGATCTCAAAGTGTGGTCCACGACCCACTGGTGATTTGCGAATGTCCTCCAGGTGGAGCGCGAGCTGGCCAAAAATGCAAGTCGCATCAAAAGCCGAGCCATTCTCTCCATTAATTCTGATAAGTTTTTAGCGGTGGCAAACAATAGCGGGTAGACTAGGTACCGGTAGGTGGTGTGCGGGGTCATTTTGCCCCGCCGAAGTGTTCTGCGGACGAAAAGGTTTGAAAAGTACTGGTTTAGTCGTATGGTAGGGAGGCTGAAAATTAGTGGCTTAGACAACTTCACTGAAAAGAACAAGCTCTGTATTTGACATGATTTCCTCAAGATCACGTTTTAGTTACGCAGAAGTGCAACGTGACTTTTTAGCCGCGACGTAGCGGCTCATAGAACGGCTCTGAGCTGTTGTTGTTGTTTTTTTTCAAGTACAAACGTTTTGCTCATAACTCGGCCATATCTTGACCAATTTGAGATCTAATGACAGTTTTGGACTCAGGAAGTCATACCATTTCCACTGATGTATTTAACCATGCCCAATATCTCATAGATTAGTTTACTCTAATTCTGCCTTAAAAAAATTCAGTTTGAGGGTAGGCTGGTAGAGATCCTAATGAGTAATAAAATTGAATGTGGTGTACGCGCGCCCCAAACTTGGTATTGGTGGCATACAAAAA